ACACACAAACAAGGAAGGTGACACTTTTTTCCCCGAGGTTAGTGGAGAACTTAGAATCATACTCTATCGGCCCTTAGCAAGCCCCAAGAAGGGGGAACACATGCACCCTATGCAAGCGCTTAGTAAAACCCAAACCCCTAAACCTTTAAAGCCCTAAGCCCAACCCTAAACCCCATACCCTAGAAACCCCAAACCCTATAAACCTCAAGCCCTAGAAATCCTAAACCCTGTACCCTAGGAACCCTGAAGCCTAAGCACTTTAGACCCTCAATCATGCATGGCCGGCAGGGTTCACAACACGTGGATCGCGGGTTACGATGGCCTGATGTGGGATCCACTGGAGGTGCGGACGCTGCCTTCTGGGTTTCGGGTATGGGATGAAGGGTTTAGGGTTTTGTGTAGGGTTTAGGGATTAGGGTTTAGGGTTTAGGGTTTCGGGTTTGGGGCTTAGGATTTGGGGGTTAAACTCATTTTCCATGACATTTGGGGTCTGGATGGGGTTTAGGCTGGTTGACATAGGCTGCCTTAACGTGGGACGGGAAGTAAATAGCATGGCTTCCTTACTATGGTCGTCCGCAAAGTTCCGAAACTCTACGCCTTAAAGGGCTCTGGGTGTTAGGGGCTAGCGCGAAGTGGCGGCGGGCCTCTTTGAGAGGGAGATTCCGCTGGATCTTTCTTTGCGCGAGTCTGGTGTATTGAATCCCCAAAAGTCCGAGACCCTAAAGCATAAGCCCGCCTAAGCCCTAAGCCCTAAGCCCTAAACCCTAAACCCTAAACCCTAAGCCCGTTGGGGGGGCCCTGTTTTGTACGAGTTTCCGTGAGAAGGGGGAGCGTTCGAACTCGCGGCTTCGGGTTTAGGGTCTAGCCCCCCAAACTAAGCTGACCCAAGCCTGAACCCCGAGGGTTTAAGGTTTCAGGGTTTAGGGTTACCCTAAAACCCTAAACCCTAAACCCTAAACCCTAAACCCTAAAACCCTAAAACCCTAAAAGCCCCAGTGAGCTACCCCAAGCATTGCCTGATAGGCCGACATGCTGCCTACCAGCTGGTCGTGGCCCCGGTGGACGGCAGATTAAAGGGCTTTGGGCTTAAGATTTAGGCTTAGGGTTTAGAGCTTAAGATTTAGGCTTTAGGCTTTAGGCTTAGGGCTTAGGGCTTAGGGCTTAGGGCTTAGGGCTTAGGATTTAAGGGCTTAAGGCTTTTAGTTCTTAGGGCTTAGGGCTTTCCAGGGTTTAGGGCAAAAAGCCCCAACGCTCTACAACCCGACCCTGGGTCTCAAAATTCCGGAGACCCCGTAAGACCTTGAACCCTCAGACTGGCCCTAAGCCCTAAACCCTAAACCCTGGACCCTCAGACGCCCGAACCTGTCGAATCCTGAGCCCAACAAAAATTCCTGAAAGCTCTGAGCCTCTAAGCACCCTGAGCCCAGGGCTCTTGCAGGGATTTAGTGTTTTAGTGTTTTAGGGGTTTAGGGTTTAGGGTTTAGGGTTTAGGGTTTAGGGTTTAGGAGTGCAGGGCTCTCGTTAAAGGACTTGAGGGGCTCAGGGTTCTAGAGGCTCAGGGCTTTAGGGTTGGAGAGGTTCGGGGCATCTGCTTGGGAATTGAGAGGTTTAGCGGAACCTCCAGGGGCTCAGGGTTCCCGAAGCCCCCAAACCCCTCGCGCCCTTCACCCCTAAAGCCCTAAACCCTAAACCCTAAACCCTAAACCCTAAACCCTAAACCCTAAACCCCCCTAATGCCCGTCGCATAGGAGAGTTGTCATCCTATAGTCAGTCGCGGGTGATGCCCACAGCGGGAATGAACGCAAGGCGGCTGCCCGGGTAGCTCCACAAGTTCGTCGCCAGGTCATCGTATGCGGCGGCTACGTTCCAAGCAAGCTCGCCCTGCGTGCGGATTTTGCAGCAAGCATACCCAGGGCTCCAAGTATAGCAAATAATACCTACATTGGGGTCTAAAGTCTGTAAATAATGCCTACTTGAGGCTATTTGGAGCCTTAGGGATGTGCGCTGCTGCCCATGCATGCCGTACGAGAACTGGATGCATAGAATCCGCGTTTCGAATAGAGAGGCGCAGGCTGGGGATCAAGCCTGCCCCCATTGTGGCACAAAGTTTGTGACGCCGAAGGCGCACGGCAGGCACTTTGTGCAGTGCAACAGACGCAGGCTGGCGGCAGGCTTAGCTACGCAACTGCAAACATGGCACGACGTGGACCCTTCGGCAGATGCGCATGTGAAAGCTCGCTCCGTTGTCCTCAGGTTGGGCTTCAGCACCCCCGAAAGCGCCTTGAAAAACCCTTAAGACTCCCCAAAAGACCCTCAACCCTGCAGAGGCCCGGTCAGCCTGAAGCCCCCTCTTCCTGGGGCTCCTGGAGATGGGACCTAGACCCTGCCTGTGACCCCTGAAACCCTAAGCCCCAAACCCTAAACCCTGAACCCTAAACCCTGAACCCTAAACCCCAAACCCTAAACCCCAAACCCTAAACCCTAAACCCCAAACCCTAAAACCCTAAAACCCTAAACCCCAAGCCCTAAACCCTAAACCCTGTAAACCCTAAACTGGCAAAAGCAACAAAAAACACCTTCGCCTGCTGAAGGAACCCATCCTCTCTGCACGCCGGGGACCGGGCCAGGAGCCCGGGCGGGGGGGGTTAGGGGTTAGGGTTTAGGGTTGAGGGTTGAGGGTTTAGGGTTTGGTGTTTAGGGTTTAGGGTCTAGGGTCTAGGGTTTAGGGTTTAGGGCTTTGGGTTTAGGGCTTAGGGTTTAGGGTTTGGGGATTCAGGTTTAGGGTTAGGGCTTGGGGCTTAGGGTTTAGGGCTTTGGGGATTTTGGTAAGGTTTTTTTTTTTTTTTTTTTTTTTTGTCAGGGTTTGTGTGGTGTGTTTTTGCTGTTTTTATTAAGTAAGGGCTTTCTGGTGCTAGTTTTTTGTGAGGGTTTTTACGGTTGGGGCTTGCGGTTTCCGAATTTAGGGTTGGGGGTTTAAGGTTTTGGGCTTGTTGTAAGTTTTTTGCAAGGGTTTGTTGGTTTTTTTCCTGTGTTTTTTCGTTAATTAAGGGTTTCTGGTGCTAGGGTTTTTGTGAGGGTTTTTCTGGGTTTTTGTCTTGGGGTTTGGGGTTTCCGGGTTTATACTGTTGGGGGGCTTAGGGTTTTAAGGTATTGGGGTTTTAGGGTTTCAGGGTTTTAGGGTTTTGGGTTCATGGTTTTCAGGGTTTGTAGGGTTTTAGGTGTTTTTTGGTTTTTAGGGTTTTAGTTTCAGGGTTTAGGGGTTTTAGGGTTTTAGGGTTCAGGGTTTCAGGGTTTTTGGGTTTGGGTTGTATGGTGTAGGGCTCAGGTTTTCTTAGGGCGTTAGGGCATGGAGGGTTTAGGGTGCAGGTTAGAGGGCTTTGTTCGGGTGTCTCGGGTTTAGGTTTCAAGCCCGCTCCTACCGCCCCGAACATTTCTGTGCTTTAGGGTTTTTTTGAGGGTTTTGGGTCTAGGACCATCCCCAAATATGTGATATATTCCTCAGTGTGCGATATACCCCCCCCCCCCCCCCCCCCCCCCCCCCCCCAACCCCCCAACAAGCGATACACCTCAAGTGGGAGAGGTCCCGCACAGCGATAAGGCCAAACCCTAAACCCTAAACCCTAGGCACCTAAACCCTACACCTTAAACCCTAAGCTGTAAACCCACCCCCAGCATGTCTTCAGCTTGAGTGTGTTTTTTCGCAGGCTCTCATGGTCTTTATACACTCCAAACTCAATACTCAAAGCCTTTTTGGGGCTCCCCAAAAGACTCTGTAATACAACAGGAACTCCAAAAGGGGTCATAATGTAGAGAACTGCCCATACTAAACCCTAAACCCTAAACCTTAAACCCTAAGATTTATTGCTTAGCTGGGCTTAGGGTTCGGGGCTTTAGGCTTCAGGGCCTCACCGCCCCCAACAAGGTCGGCGTGCTCATCGGCCCCGCGGGTGAGTTCACCGTCTATGTGAATGCGGAGGCAGCCACGGCTGTTTTTTTAGGGTTTAGGGTTTAGGGTTGAGGGTTGAGGGTTTAGGGTTTAGGGTTTAGGGTTTAGGGTGGTTTAGGGTTTAGGGTTTCTTGAAGTAACTTCAAAACCATAAAGTCTTGCAGTGAAGGAGGTTCTTTTTGGGGTTCTGCTAAAATCTGAGAACCCTCTGCGCTACAACCAAAACCCCCTTAACCCTCAGCCTCAACTCTAAGTCCTGAACCCCCCTGAAACCCCCTATGCACCTCATGACATGCTAGGTAGGCCCTTGGGTAATTTTATGTATTCCTTGGGTTTAAGAGGATCATATTCAGGAATATGTTTTTTCAGAGGGTCCAGGATGGGCCTTAAACCCTAAACCCTAAGTCCTAGACCCTAAACCCTAAACTCGGCACAGGTGGCTTTCGAGCGGCGGAACGCCCAGGTTCCGTGCGCGCTCGCCTCAGAAGCCTTGGGAGGTTTTTTTTTCGGGATTTATCGGGTTTGGGGTTTTGGGTTTAGAGTGTTTGGGGTCAAGTTTGGGGTTTTGGGTTTAGGGTTTAGGGTAGTTTGGTTCGAGCTCGGGGTTTATAGGGTTTTGTTCTGGTGTAGGAGATGGGGTCTAGAGCCGAGGGTGCAGGGCGCATAGGGCTAATGGGATCCCGTAAGTTTAGGGTTTAGGGTTTAGGGTTTAGGGTTGAGGGTTTAGGGTTGAGGGTTGAGGGTTTAGGGTTTAGGCACTGAGCATTCATCTTGTAAGTCTATTCAATCTGGCATACACACTGTATTCCTAAGTTGCTCTGGGACCTAGGAGGGTAAACCCTCCAACCCTCAACAACTAGTACATGGGACCCAATCAGAATTGTACTTATAACCCAATTATAAGCCCATTAGGGTACTTAAGGGGCTTAAAAGGGGGTTGCAACTACACTGATCATTGGGATACTAAGTGCCCTGAACTCCCAAGTAAGAACCAGATCGATCTGCAAGTTCTTTCCCATTTTGAGGGGCAAAAATTGCTGTGCTTTGACGCCGTCTAACGCAGGGGCACCGCGACCGACAAGCTCCTGCGTGGTCGATTCTCATTATATTTCACCCCCACCCCCCACCAAACCCTATTCGAACAAAAAGGCCCCTATAGTTGCACACGCGGCGCGTCGTATCGGCATTCTGTTGCGTTTCGGGTGCCCTCCGGTGCGCACATGCGCCGCAGGAGGGACGGCGCGACCCTAAACCCTAAACCCTCGTCTTGTGGTCCTTTGCGTTGGCGCGGACGAATGTCCCTCGCGTCGCCCTGTTCGTCAAGCCTGCCACCAATCACGAGAGTGTCTGTCGCGACAGCCTTCTCAGTGTTCCTGGTGTCAAGTTACACTCAGAATGACCAGACCTGTGTGTGGGCGCGATTCAAGAGACAGTCCAGGATTCAGGAAACTCTGGCGATTCAGGAAACTGCAGTTCTGAAAGCTGGGCGATTCAGGAAACTTCCCGATTCAGGAAATCTGTGAATTGTCCAATTCAGGACCCCAGCCGTGGAATACCAAATAAAAACAATCTGCCCGTTGGAGGTGTGGGGTGGGGTGGTGGGGGCGGAGTGGGGGGGGGGGTTGTCCTGAACCCTAGACCCTACAGACCCTAAACCCCAAACCCTAAACCCTAAACCCTAAGCCCTGCCAAAATGGGAGCCTGTGCTCGGTGGCGTTTGCCCGACACCCGCGGCTTGAAACTTCCAGGGCTTCGGCCGACAGCGGCAAGCTCCCAGTCGGTCCAAGCCTTATAAAAGGGTTTAGGGTTTAGGGTTTGGGGTTTAGGGTTTAGGGTTTAGTAACCCTAGAGGCCCTGTTAGCCCTTTAAGGAAACCCTAGAAGCCCCATACAGACAACTCAACCGTAAAAACCCAAGAAGGTCCTTAAAACCTGTACCACCCTCAAAAACTCTTCAAGCCCCTAAACCTGAGCCGTTGTAGGGATAAGATCCCCGAGGCTTCACCACTCTTTGCTGTATGCGACCTCCTTGGACAGTGCGACGAGGCAGCCGTCTCAACGTTTAGGGGTTCAAGTTTTAGGCATTTAGGGTTTGGGTTTCGAGTATTAGGGATTTGGGATTTAGGGTTTCGGGGTTTCGGGCTTATTGTTTGTGAAGATGCCTGGAGCCCAAGGCCCTCATGGCCTCAAGCCTTACTGCGTAAGCCCTCAATCCTAAACACAAGGTATCTCCAACAAAAATGGTTCGCAGAATAAATTTAGGAAACTTGTGATTATAGAGGATGAATATACTAAAGTCAGTGCAACATTCATGCATCTGCGTCGTCTGATTGGCGTGGCGGACACATGGAATGATACAGCCTGGAAAAACTAAAATGGTGTGCTGAGCTCAAAGAACATGAACGTGTACCTAGGAGTCCTACGAGTGCACTGCGTGCTGGCGCAGAGCAGCGTAAAGGCCACTCGAGCAGCTGTAAAGGGAGCTCCGAAGCCGCTGTGCCGAAAGTTCTTAAAGTTCTTAAGCGGCCTAGTGCCACATTTCCTCCGACTGCTGAAAGGCAGCGAGCTAGGCCCTAACTGGGCGTCATCCCTGTGTACTCCGCGTCGTGGCCCCCATGGCCCTCGTGCAACGCACAGTGGCAAACCATAGTTTCGACAAGCCGATGTGCGCTCTTGGTGACGCCCGGAGTCTGCACAAGCCAAAACATTGGTCAGTCCGAGTTGATCAGCCTGAGCGCGCATGTGCGTGGGACATTGTTGGAGAAGTTGAGAAGTAGCTTGTTGTTGGATATGCTAAAACTCAATGATAATCACAGGCCGTAGCTTCTAAATAGGTCCTATTTTGCTCAGCCCCCCCCGCCCCCCTCCCCCACCCCAAAGCCTGAACCCTCAACCTTGAACCCCTCCAGAAAAAAGGGCGCTAAAAAACCTGCAGGTGGCTCTCCACGTCGACGCGCCAGGTGCTCGGCCAATGCTGTTGAAGTCTCCAAACCCCAAACCCTAAACCCCAAACCCCAACCCTAAACCCTAAACCCCTAACCCCTAACCCCTAAACCCTAAACCCTAAACCCTAAACCCTAAACCCTAAACCCTAAACCCTAAACCCCAAACCCTAAACCCCAAACCCTAAACCCTAAACAGCAAGGCCTCCGCCCAAGCCTTTGGCGCAGCCGGCGTCGGAGGAGCTTCGGGAGGCCTTAGTTAGGGTTTAGAGGGTTTAGGGTTTATGGTTTAGGGTTTAGGGTTTAGGATTTAGGGTTTGTACCGGCGTGGCATGTGTCAGATGACGCACTCTCAAATTCACGAAAGGGACAACAGCATCAGCCGTTGAGGCACTGCAGCCAAAAATGGGAGCTTGTCTGCCCCACGTTTGCTGGTAGGCCATAAATGGTATAGCGGCCCATGCACGCTATGGTAGCTGCGCAGCCTTGCTGGTATATATAACCCTCCCCGCCCTGTACAGAAAGCAAGCGGACATGAAGGAGAGAAACAGCTAAGCTCTGCAGTTGTGTACAATGCTGTACTGTGACCGACTCAAGCAACTCAGGGTTTCGCTCAACCTGACCAAACCACGTGTTGGCAAAAGAGTGGAGCGTGCCTTGATCCAAGATAGATCGTAGCCCATCCTTGAAGGCTGCTGTGGTTGCGGGAGCAACTCCTACAGGGCAGTTGGTCGGTACTGGGGGCCGTAAGCTGGCCCAAAAAGGCTGAGGGCCGACCCTGCGCGTCGTTGGTAGATGCTGTAGGCGAGGATCATTTACCTCCGGTTGTGGCGCTATGTCGGCTGCAAGGTAGGTGGCTCTGCATTGGGCATGATGGCGCAAGTGCTCGCGAAGTCTGCGTTGTAGCCAGAATTGAAGCCCACAAGCCTCGCAGGCGGAGCCAAAAAGTGCTAGGCTACACTCAGCTCTGTGATGGCGTACTTTGCTTTGGTGAGATGCCAGCGCAGCTGGCCCCTCAAAGGTCCTACCACAGTCAGGGCAGGCGTGCAGCGCTTCGTGATTACCACTCTGCGTGTGGTACAGCACAGTGACCCGTGCTGCCTGCATCTGGCCTAGTGCGGCCACTTTGCGTCGAGCAGGTTCTGCTGCTTCGCAAGCGGCTCGGAGCCACAACTTGGCAACCCTGCGTAAGACATTGGCAGCATCAGCCGGATCTCGTTGCATGGTGGCGAACCAGGTTTCTGCTGCGGAGGTGTCCCGGGGTAGAGCTGGCAGGCGAGGCAGTTGCAGCGCTTGCAAAATGGTGTCCATGTCATGCGCCGCCTTTTCCAACCATATCCCGGCCCGCACAATGGAGGCTCGAAGATAGGCAGAGCGGCCATTGGCCACCTGCCATAAGGTTCTTGCACGCTCGATGGCAAGGGCTTGATCCGGTCGGAGGATCCCATTGAGGGCACAGATGGCATCGTCATCTAGGAACTTACTACTATGGCCGCAGAGTGGCCAGGTGGCCCCTCGGACATATGCCATGTAATATGCCCGGTACCTAGCAAGTTCACCTTTTGTGCGTAGTACCCATGTCCCCGCCCCATGTAAGAACTTCCGCATGATCAAACTACCAAACATGTGCACCTTTTCTTGCCAGCTCAGGTGGGGGTTGTTGAGTAACCGGCCCCGGACTTTGGCAAAGACCCCGTCCGTCTGGTACTTTCTCCTGGCCAGGTCATCCCAGTCGGATCCAGTTGCCTGACGAAGCGTGCCGAGGTGCACATAGCTTGCGACACACTCAATGGTCTGTGAGGTGTCTCCCACTTGGATGCGGGCGGCTTGCTCGATGAGAAGGCGCTGTCGAAGGGCCTGGGAACCCTTCCCATGTACAGCCAACAGGACCTCAGACTTACCTCTGCCGAAGTTGACCGAGATGCCAATAGCACGCAAATGGGCCTGAACAAGCGCTGCAGCCTGGGAAAGTTGTAGCTCCAATTTTTCTGCCGGACATGTGAGAAGGACCGCCATATCGTCCATCCATGTTGGCATGTCTGCCGCTTGGCAACCTGCTCCTGAGACCTCTATGCAATCGGTGGCTCCGATTTCAGTGAGGTCTTGATGGAGCTCCCGAAGTGCTGACGCAAAGATCACTTGGAAGATAGCGTCAGCAACCGGAGAGCCCGGCGCTGTTCCAGCCTGAGTGCTGAAGATTTGCCGCCCGTCCACATGGGTGGTGTACCATGTCCTGCGCAGGAACTGTTGTACAAGGTCCTGTTGGGCCTGCGTCAATCCCGCTTCTTCCAGCAGGTTGCCTTGGGAGAATCGGCGTTGCAGTCTTCGGCGAATCCGGTCTGGGACTGGAAGGTGCGACAGCCATTGTTGGAAAGAATCAGCTTTGCTGTCCAAGACGTAGTCTCTGACGACTGCGTAAAAAGCATTGGCCCCGTCAACAAAGATGACGGCGCCGCAAAGCTTTTGTTTGCGAAGAAACTGCAAGTGACTTTGAACAGTCATTGCTGCAAGAGTCATTGGCACTCCTGGCATAGTTCCCCCGGTACCTGGTAGGGAAAGGGCGGCAACTGCTTTGGTGAGGAATGGTCGTAGGGCTTTGGTGGTGGCCTTGGAAGCAACCTCAACCATGGCGATGGCCCTATAGCCATCAACCGAGGTGTGGTCTTTGGCTGGCTTGGGCATACATATGGAGAGATTCCCCGTCCATAAGGTTGGCGCCTGCCCCCGGCTGAGCATTTTCAAGATGACGGGCATATGGGCCCTAGCCGCAGCCAGTGGCTGTGCACTGTAGAAGTCTGGCGGGAGCCCTGAGAGCCCCGGCGCTCTCCGGTTGGCTGCGGTCGCGAATGCTTGAGCCAGACATGAGAGGTGCGGTACCTCAAGAAGGTCAACTGGTTCAGTCGCCGTCGGGGGGACATGCTGCTGCTGCAGCTCTTTCAGCGACTGGGCAGTTGCACATTCGGCTTTGGCAAAGTGCCTACCGAAGGCCTGTGCGACAAGGACCGGGTCTGAGGTAGGGGTACCATCAACTTCTATGCATGGGGCTGCCCTAGGGGCCTTATACTTACGCCCGGTGCGCAAGATGGCTCGGATCAGTCGGGCAAGTTCGTGGGGCCCTTTTGCCCTGGCTGCGGGCCGCATAGTGTCGCATGTCCCTGGCGTGGAGAGCAAGTTGCATGCGAAGGCCTTTGAGCTTAAAATGTGTCACCTGCCCGTTTAGTCGTAAATTGTCACCATGTCTAGAGGCCTGACGCCAGGCTACCCAAAACGAATACAAGGTCAATTTGGCCAGGGCCTGACGCCTGTAGCGCTGTGCCCTGCGACACCCTCTGCGTGCATGGAGAAGTGCCCAAGTCGTCCCGGAAATAGTGGGCGACCTGGGTGCATCGGCCGGCTTGGCAAAGGTGTGCGCGAGCTGCCCCTGAAGGTAAGTGTTGATGGCGAGGACATGATCATCAATGTGCATCTCCCAGGGCATTTGGGGAAGCGCCCGCCAGATGTCGGCAATAGCAGCTTGTCCGGCCGGGGTATGCATGGCCTCAATGTCAAGCCGCCAGGGTTGCTTGGGGATTGATCCCTCAAGAGTCATGTGGAGTCGGATATGGAGCAGGCGATGGTCGTAGTCGGCATGTGCATCGTCGACCCATGTGGTATGCTGGGCCTGCAGGCATGAGGCCCACGCTCGTGGCCAAAGGAGGTAGTCGATGCAATTCTTCGCCCCATTGGGCGCAGTCCAGGTGTGCACCGGTTTGCCATGTTGATGGCTGGCTGTGCGGGCAAGCTCCAGGTCGCGTGCAAAGGATTGCAGGGCTTCTGCGTTGGCATCCAGAGGCTGCTCTTCTCCGACCTGATACACGAACTTCGCATTTGCGTCAAGGAATGCCAAGGGTATTCTGCCTTGCAGGTGTCGATCGGTTTGTTCTCGCAACATCTTCCACCAACTGGTGATTTCCGACATCGGGCTGACTGCAGTTGGGGCATGACCAACTATAAAGAGGCACGGCACCGAGCCTATGTGTCCGGACACAAGCAAGAGTCGTGGGTGCTGAAACCTGATCGAGCATGTTTGCGGTTGCCAATGGATGGGCCTACCATCGGCTGTTTGACCCAACGGCCGTCGGGTGTCTAGCCACAACTGGCAGCCAAATTGGCCCAGGTCTGGCTTGCTGGAGAACCTCCACATGCCGGCCTGTCTTTCAACAGATTCACAGTCATGGCGGGTCTCCTGTAACCCTAGCACTCCTATGTGATGAGCCCGCATGAACTGGTGCAGGCATTGTCGCTGCAGGGCTGTGCGGGAAGAAAGCGTGTTATATGTGGCACATTGGAGGTCTACAGTGAAACAATTGTCCTCTGCGTTCCCAGGCTGGGAGGGGGCCCATTGAGCTGGCGATTCAACTGGGACACGGAGGGGCAAGCTTTGGCAAGGTGTCGTAATGCCATCTACATTCTGTGTCGGCCACGCAATGTCCTGTGGAACTTCCGGCAGCCATAGCCAGGCAAATTCGGGCGACAGGGTAGCTTGGAAAAGGGCAGCCTCACCCTGCTGAAGAGTACCCTCATCGTGATGCAAGTAGGCTTTGGCAAGCGAATCAGCAAGCTCGTTCCCTAGATTGCCCTTATGACCCCGAACATGTACCTGATGGTGTCGACATGCCCGATTCTGAAGGATTGTGTGTGTGGTAGCGACTGCTGGCACGAGCGGAGAATCTGATGTCGTATTGGCACGACCTTGCGCAACACTGGCTGCCGATGTGGAGTCATAGAAGATGGTGGATTCAACCTGCGCCTCATAAGCCACGACTTGGCCGATAAATTGCGCCGCAAGTTCAGTCTGAAATGAGGACCTGGCACCAGTACCCCATGTATGGGCGGGCAAGGGTCCTGCTTTGTAGCCGCTCCAGTATCATGTGCCGTTGGTACGGCTGAGAACAGCGACTGCCCAGGCTCCTTTCCACGTGTTGGGGTCATATGCTCCATCGATGAAAAGCATGCAAGCATCAATGACCTGGCCAGCCTGTGCCTTTGGCATGTGGAGGACAAGATCCTTGGCTGCAGCATGAAAATCGGAAAAGGTTGGCAAGTCTTGCTGAAGCTCATGTAGAGCGAACGGTCGAGTAAGGTCATGAAGCATAGGCGCAGAGACTCCAGTGGCAAGAGGTCGTTCTACCTGGGACACCTGACCTTGAGCCTGGGCAGCGCGCGCCTGTTGAGGACCTACTTGTGGCACTTGACCTTGAGTTTGGGCTGCGTGCACCTCATGAGGACCTACTTGCGGCACCTGACCTTGAGCCTGGTCTGAGTGCACCTGAGGACCTTGAGCCTCTGCTGTGTGCACTTGATGAGGACCCACTTGCGGCACCTGACCTTGAGCCTTGTCTGTGTGCACCTGAGGAGGACCTACCTGAGGCATCTGACCTTGAGCCTGGCCTGCGTGCACTTGAAAAGGACTTACTTGCGGCACCTGACCATGATGAGCCTGGCCTGAGCACACCTGAGGACTTACTTGAGGCACCTGTCCTTGAGCCTGGGCTGTGTGCACCTCATGGCCTCGAGCCTTGACTGCACGCGCCTGTTGAGGACCTGCTCGCGGCGCCTGACTTTGAGCCTGGCCTGAGTGTACCTGCTGAGGCGCCCGACTTTGGGTCTGGGCTGCGCGAACTTGAAGAGGACCTACTTGCGGCGCCTGACCTTGGGCCTGGACTGCGTGCACCCGACGAGGACCTGCTTGCGGCGCCTGACCTTGAGCCTGGCCTAAGTGCACCTGAACGCCTACCTGTGGCACCTGACCTTGAGCCTGGGCTGCGTGCACCTGATGAGGGCCTACTTGCGGCACCTGGCCTTGAGCCTGGTCTGAGTGCACCTGAGGACCTACTTCAAGCGCCTGACCTTGAGCCTGGGCTGTGTGCACTTGATGAGGGCCTACTTGCGGCACCTGACCTTGAGCCTGGCATGAGTGCACCTGAGAACCTACTTGAGGCATCTGACCTTGAGCCTTGGCTGTGTGCACCTGAAGCGCCTGACCTTGAGCCTGGGCCGTGTGCGCTTGAAAAGGACTAACTTGCGGCGCCCGGCCCGAGTGCACCTGAGGCACCTGATGACCCCAAGCCTGGGCTGTGTGCACCTGATGAGGACCTGCTTGCGGCACCTGACTTTGAGCCTGGCCTGAGTGCGCTTGCGGCACCTGACCTTGAGCCTCTGAGTGCACCTGAACACCTACCTGAGGCACCTGACCTTGAGCCTGGGCTGCGTGCACCTGGTGAGGACCTACTTGCGGCACCTGGCCTTGAGCCTGGTCTGAGTGCACCTGAAGACCTACTTCAAGCGCCTGACCTTGAGCCTGGGCTGCGTGCACTTGATGAGGACCTACTTGCGGCACCTGACCTTGAACCTGGCCTGAGTGCACCCGAGGCACCTGACCTTGAGCCTTGGCTGTGTGCACCTGGAGCACCTGACCTTGAGCCTGGGCTGCGTGCGCTTGAAAAGGACTTACTTGCGGCGCCTGGCCCGAGTGCACCTGAGGCACCTGAGCCTGGGCTGTGTGCACCTGATGACCCCAAGCCTGGGCTGCGTGCACCTGAGGACCTGCTCGCGGCACCTCACCTTGAGCCTGGCCTGCGTGCACCTGACGGTCTGCCTGATGCGTCTGGGGCGCTCGCACCTCATGAGGACTTACTTGCGGCGCCTGACCTTGAGCCTGGGCAGCGCGCACCTGGTGAGGGCCTGCTTGCGGCACCTGACCTTGAGCCTCTGAGTGCACCTGAACACCTGCCTGAGGCACCTGACCTTGAGCCTGGGCTGCGTGCACCTGAACAGGACCTGCTTGCGGCACCTGACCAAGAGCCTGGCCTGTGTGCACCTGAGGACCTACCTCCAGCGCCTGACCTTGGGTTTGGGCTGTGTGCGCCCGATGAGGACCTACTTGTGGCGCCTGATCTTGTGCCTGGACTGCGTGCACCTGCTGGAGACCTGCTTGCTGCGCTGAGTGCATCTGCAAGCCTACCTGCAGCACCTGACCTTGAGCCTGGGCTGTGTGCACCTGAGGGCCTACCTGCAGCACCTGACCTTGAGCCTGGGCTGGCTGCGGCGCCTGACCTTGAGCCTGGCCTGAGTGCACCTGAAGACCTCTGACCTGGCAAGGAGGTGTGTGTGTCTGATGGTTGGACTGCAACACGGTCCAAAGCGGCCTAAGCTGCATTCGGCATTCATGGACAAGATCGTTGTGCCACTGAATTTGCCGGCACGGATGGTCAGCAAACCCAACGCGTAGGGGCATTAGGGTGAAGGGCTTAAGCAAAGTCGAAACCAAGCCCTCGACAGGGGCAGGGGCATTGTCCTGAGGCACCTGACCTTGAGCCTGGGCTGCGTGCACCTGAAGAGGACATACTTGCGGCACCTGTCTTTGAGCCTGGCCTGAGTGCATCTGAGGACCTGCCTGAGGCACCCGACCTTGAGCCTGGGCTGCGTGCAGTTGAGGAGGACCTTCTTGAACCGGGGCTGCATGCCCCTGATGAGGACCTACTTGTGGCATCTGACCTTGAGGCTGGCCTGAGTGCACCTGAGGACCTACATGGCTGCAGCGCTTGCCATGAGGTTCGTTGGCTGCCTGCGCGAGCGCGTCCGAACGGTGACCGTCTTGCTCGTGCACCTGCAGCCTTTTATCCTGGAAGTAGGTGTGCACATGTTCACAGGATGGCGGCAGGCTCAGCTCAAAGTGTAGATTGACGGCAACTAGGCTGGCTTGCCATGGTGCAAGATAATCCCACTCATGCTGTATAGGGTGCCATGGTGGGGTTAGGGAAAAATGCTCTACTGTACCTCCTAAAATAGGGGCAGGAGCTGACTGCCCATGCGTTCCCAGAAGGCTCAGGCATGGGCTGATTGAAAAGGCTTTCCACCAGCTATTGGCTCGCCTGCAGTAGCTGGGGCCCCCTGCGACGGGGCTGTGGGGGACTCTTGCTCCACATCGATGACTTCTGTGGGCGGCGGCTTGCGTCTTGGGGTCCTGGAGCTGTCGCGAAGTTCGGTGGCCGATGTCGCAGCCGATCTCTTGACTGCTTCCAGCATAGTGGCTATCTGCATAGCCTGCGCTTCCGTGGCTTGCTTCTGTTGCTGTTGTCTGGCTCGAAGCTCTTGCTCCT